GGACAATGCCGGCTCCGACAAGTCCCCGCTCCGCTGGGTTGACGAGGCCCTGCTCCGCCGAGGCCCCGCGGCACCAACAAGGAGGCAGAGGACACCGCCGGCTCCGCCGAGGCCCCGCCCCGCCAACAACGAGGCAGAGGACATCGCCGGCTCAGCCGAGGCCCCACCCTGCCGGCAACGAGAGGGAGGATTTCCCTCGCTCCGCCGAGGCGCCGCCCGCTGGCAACGAGACAGAGAAAATCGCCGCCAGATGTTGTTGTATTGTCCATAATCAAGGCAGCAACATTTTATGCATATGTACATGGCCACTGCACTGCCCACCTCTCATTGATCTACTTGCTTGAATAGTTTGTCTTGTCTTTGTGCCGCCTCTTTCTTCATCTTGCGAACTCAGGTGCTTAGTCTTTCAGCAAAAAATTAATTGGTTCTTGTGATTTTTTCCGAGCACCAATCAAGGCTGTATATGCAAATGCAGCTGATTGAAATTTCAGACTTCCAATCTGCCAAGTGAGCTCTGGTGCTTAGACTTCTGTAATGCACATGGATTTCAGTTTGTTTCACACTTTCTTGTCCTGCTGAATAGATCATAAGTTCATAACATCCGCTGTTGGGAGTACTGTAATTCTCTACTCACCGAGGAAGTTATTTTGGTTTGGTATATGCAAAAACAAAATAAAATAGAGGAGGCTTTTCTTCCCAGTTTGGTACATGTAGTTATGCATTCATTGGTTTGGTATATTCATATATGCAAAAGTAAAATAAATTGAGGAAGTTTTACTTTCCCCGGATTGGTCTATGTAATTATCTGTTCATTGCAAGGATAAGATTGTTGGAGTGCCCTCCTTGTATTTTTTTTTCAAAAGATTGCTTCTCCTCAGGGCGCGGGGCTCTCCCTTCTGGAATGATCTTTAGGCGGTTCGCCCGGCTTTTGCTCTTGGCGCCAAATTCGCAATTGGCAACGGCCGCTCGGCCCGCTTCTGGCTCGATCTGTGGGTAGGAGGGACGCCCCTTTGGGAACAATTTCAGGACTTCTATGTCCTGGCTGTCAACCCGGAGCAGAAGGTGGCATCGGCACTTGCCACCTGCAGCATGGCAGATTATTGAGGAAGTTGGCCTGTGTAAGCGGACAGTGTGGTATAACAAGCGTCGCCTGATTGCATAGTTTCCTTCCTGTAGTGTACCGACTCATGCAGATTTTAATTGTCAGCTAAAAAGGTTGTGTGAGGCTAGTGATAATTTACATTTACCAAGTATTATAAGCTTTGGTGAGGTTATCCAAGTACCTGACTTGGGACATATTCTATGAGACATCATTCTTGTTCTAAAAAGTTCAGTTCAGTTCAGTTAAAAACGTAGTCTCTTGAATTGTAGGCAAGATAATGTGAGCTACTCTGAAGCGATGCCCAGCCAATAAAAAATAATCTTAAGCAAGGATAAGATTGTTGGAGTGCCCTCCTTGTATTTTTTTTCAAAAGACCCTTCTGGAATGATCTTTAGGCGGTTCGCCCGGCTTTTGCTCTTAGCGCCAAATTCGCAATTGGCAACGGCCGCTCGGCCCGCTTCTAGCTCGATCTGTGGGTAGGAGGGACGCCCCTTTGGGAACAATTTCAGGACTTCTATGTCCTGGCTGTCAACCCGGAGCAGAAGGTGGCATCGGCACTTGCCTCTAGACCCCCGGCGATCCATTTCCGTCGCGAGCTAACGGGTCCTGAACAAGCTCACTTTGAGGAGTTGCTGGCTCTCATTCAACCGGTGACGCTGTCCACTACAACCGACACGGTCACCTGGGCTCTCTCCTCGTCCGGCAAGTTCACGGTCAGGTCTCTATACCGCAGGCTGTGCCAGGGCCAGGCCCCGGCCTTCCCGATGCCGTCGGGCCTATGGAATGCACGTTTGCCGCTTAAGATCAAGGTGTTCTTTTGGCAACTCTTCCGCAATAGACTTCCCACTTCGGCTAATATTGCCAAACGCAACCGCCCGTCTTCCGGATTATGCGCAATTTGCAACATCATGGAGGATGCGAATCACGTGTTCTTCCGCTGCCCTCTAGCGCGTTTTGCCTGGAGTGCAGTCCGCGAGGCCACCAACACCACGTGGGACCCGCACTCGGCTGGGGACCTAGCGGTCATTGTTGCATCGATGACTGGCGGCAGCAAGCGCGTGCTTTGGAGCTGCCTAGGCGCCTTGGCGTGGGCTTTGTGGCTCACCAGGAACAAACTAGCAATCGAGGGAATTTTCCCTTCTCACCCTGCTAATATTCTTTACAAATGCAACATTCTTCTGCAGCTGTGGAGTCCGTTGGCGAGGTGTAAGGATGCTGAGAGAATGAAGCAAGCTCAAGACCGTCTTTGCCAAGTCTACCTTCTGGCTAGGGAGCCAACAGCCACTCCTACGTCGTGAAATGGTTATTTTGTCTCGCGAGCGAGCCTGCGTGCTCTATGCTCTTGGCTTTTGGCCTGTAATAGACTCGCTGTGGACTGCCTGTGGCCTATGGCCTGTCGCTAAACTCCTGTGCCTTCGCGCACGTGTGACCTGAGCCTCCGCGCTCGTTACGTTCAGTCTTTAGTCTTGTAAACGCTGTCTAAGTTGTGGGCTTTATTAATTTAAAGCCGGACGCCTCTAGCGTCTTCGTTCTAAAAAAAAAGATTGCTTCTCTGTTTGTTTATCTCGTGACCTTTTTCAAAACGTGCTTGTTTATCTGGTTTGCCGTTTTATCTTTTCATGTTTTACCAAATTTATCTTTTCATGATCCAATCAAAACTTGAATGGCACGACAGGTGGTGACCGCCAAGGTCTCTTTGGATGAAGGATCGTCTCAGTGTAGCGACGCCGGCACGATCTTGCCAAATGGTGTTGATGTTGTTGAGGCGGTAAGAGAGGGCAGAGGTGCGCTTGAAGAAATTGACATTGACATGGTGAGGAAGCAGAGCATGCAAGTAGAGGCAGACGGCACGAAGATTTGGCAAGACGTGGAGGAGTTTGAAAAGAAGCAAGCTGAGACGTACCGGATTGCTAAGCAGCTGCAGGGCATACTTTAGGTTGCCATTTTAACTGGCATACGAAACAAGCACATAATTTCAAACTTCACATACAGGCAAAACTAGCGGCATCATTTATTTGGCACCGCGAAATACCCTCGACCCTAAAAGCACACAAAGTCAGACCTTGCACGGTTGCACCGTCCAATCAAATAAACACAACCGACAAACATGCGCCAAGCCACAGACGTGTCAGGGTAGTCGTAACAAATCTCCAGTTTACAAACTTGAAGCACATCACATTCACATACAGGAAAACCAAACCTTTGAAACGGCAACCCAGTCGAGATGTGGAGTTGTGGGCGTTTTTTTTTTTAAAAAAAATTTCATTCAAATCACGGATCAGTACAAAGTAGTTGATCCTCCTCACAAGCACACCGAAACGCAAACACAAAGGACCATGAACACCTAGATTACCTTAAGACAACCATAATACAAAAAGATCTCCGGAGCCTTGTGTCATCATTCCTGAATCTTGAGAGAAGGCCCCTGCAGCAGAAGGATCTGCAACCAGTCGCAAACAGGTCATCATCTTCGATCACGGTACAATTGCCGCCACGCTGCTTCCTTCTTTCTTGACACCAGCGCTGAGAGGGCATGGACATCAATCCAACACACCTGCAACATCCGTCGCCATCTTTGGCTTTGAGTAGCGCGAAAAGTGTCCCTTCCGGAAGGAAGAGAACTCGAGTCATCCGACCGGTTCAACACCGTGGCCGGGCCATCCGCCCGGACAAAGCAGGATCTCCATCAGCATCAGCGCAGAGGAAGGAGAAGAACAACAACAACAAATCATACCAACAAGGAAGAAGAAAGGTCTTCGTCTCCCTGCCTCCATCGCCCATTCGAGGATCCAAACGCCCAGTGCCGATGGACCTCCAACCACCATGGCCCGCGACCTAGACGAGATCCGGGGATTCCCAACACCGCTGGCTCCTAGACGAAGGCAAAAGCCTCGCCTGACCGCGAACGGAGCTCGGAGAAACTTATTCCTATCTTGTGGGCGTTTGTTTTGAAACACAAAAAGCGTTGGGTTTTGGTTTGGTTTGTGAAAACAACCGCGAAACTGCTACCCAGACGACACTGCTGCCCGATATATGCACGACGTGCTAATCCAGCCGCTGGTGTCCTTCTCAATGATGTGCATGTGCGGCTGGATTTAAGTATAATCGTGCGCAGTGTGTGGTGTGTGTAGCACTGCTCAAACAACCGTAGCCGTGGCTAAATAAAAAAAGAGCGCCCATTTCTCGGTTGGTTCGCGAAGCTTCCGCGCGGCCCCGAAAGATTTTGAACTCGAGCAGAGCTCTCGGCGAGGGTTTGGGCGGCGGAGGGAGGCGGGCATGGCCGGGAAGAAGCAAGCGGCGGTGAGCGCCGCGCCTTCCGAGGGCGAGGAGGGCGCCGTCGTCCCCAGCTCCACTGCCAAGCGCGGGGCCGGCAGACCTAAGAAGGACCCCGTCCCCGCCGCCGCCAGCCCCGGCTCCGCTGCCAAGCGCGGGCCTGGGAAGCCTAAGAAGGATCCCGTCCCCGCCGCCGCTGCCAAGCGCGGGTCCGGGAGGCCTAAGAAGGGCGCCGCCCCCGCCGAGTCCGGCGAGGGCTCTGCTCCGGAGCCCGGGAAGAGCGAGATGGGGGAGGGGGAGAAGGGGGCGACCCCGAAGAAGCAGGGGAAGAAGGGGGAGATGGAGAAGGCGGCGATCCCGAAGAAGAAGGAGAAGGGGGACAAGGCGGCGGCGGCGCCAGAGAAGGAGAAGGGGGAGGCGGCGGCGACCCCGACGAGGAAGAAGGAGAAGGGGGACAAGGCGGCGGCGGCGCCAGAGAAGGACAAGGGGGAGGCGGCGGCGACC